GTAAAGTGTATTTACCTTGTTGACATGTTTCGGCTGCAACAGCTGATATACGACACGTCAACACCAACACCGGTGACAATTCTGAAGATGACATGCAGCGAGCGGCCGAAACATGTCAACAAGGTAAAACACACTTTACTGCACTGTCTTTAAAAAGAACCTAAGAAGTTAAACTCTATAAGAAAACAAAATGAACATCATTGGCTTAAACAGTCTCTGGTTTGTTCATGTGTTTAGATCCACAAATACAAGTTTAATATTTCTAACTTGTATTTTGGTCTCTACAAATAAATGTGTTTGTAAATTTATCTTTTTTCATTTGCAAACAAAAAATTACATTTGTAAAATTAGGAGTGTAACGGTACAATAATCATGGTTCAATACGCACCTCGGGTTTGAGGTCACGGTTTGGTGCATTTTTGGTTCAGTTTGGGAACAAAAAACAAAACCTTTATTTGTGTTTTTATTAAACCAGCAGTTTGGGGCCAGTTGTTCTGAAGACGGTCGCTCTAACTATAAAGCGCTGCAGGAAACACTGACGCCCCAATCACAGACGAGCTCCTCCTGAATATTAAAGAGCTGCACATGTAGAGGAGGAATAAACAAACACAAACTGAACTCACTCGTGCACAGATCTGCACCGAACCCCAATCTGATGTGGCCAAGATTTTAAAACTTCTATCAGTTTATTCATCTCGAGTTCTGAGATGTTTCATTCTCGTCTAGAGGTCGTTTATTTAAAGCAGGCATGTCCAAACTATGGCCCGTGGACCAAATGCGGCCCTCAGACAAATTTTTCTTGGCCCTCAGGCTTCCAGGTGAATTGGCCCAAATGACCTTGCGTCAAATAAAAATTTACTTTTTAGTGCAATTTTTTTTTTTTTTAATCTACCTTAATAAAGCTCATATTTAATATTTAGTGTGTGATTTTAAGGATCTTAGTGTGAATAAAAACTGATGCTCATTCTAACATGTTAAACATGCACATATTTTAATTATTCCCTGTATTAAGCTCCAGTCTGTGGCCCTCGATCGGCCCTCTGCTTGGTCTGTCTTTAGGTATGTGGCCCTTGATGAAAAAAGTTTGGACACAACTGGTTTAAACAGAACATTTCAGGTAAAATGATCTTTCTGACTGGACAGATCATTTCATTACTTTTAAGTCGTTTTCTGATAGATTGAAGCGTTCAGATCTGAAATTGTGGCTCTAAGTTGTGACTCTAGTGGACTGTCCATCAGTAAAAAAAAAGATGAGATTAGATTTTACACTAAAAGGTGAGAGAGACAAACTGGAAAAACGGGATTTGCTCAGCAGCACAAATAGTTCAGAGGAGTCGGTTCTTTATGATCCGATTGTGCGAAAACAAAACTCAGATGAAAGTGTAAGTCACAGGTTTTCATCACACCCCCACAGAATGTTGATAAGAACTTAAGGTTTATTTTCTCTTGTGTTTTTTCCTCGACAGCGACGTCCTCGTGGGTCCAGCCCGACGCTCCGCTCCAGTCCCCTCCTCCCGTCTCCTCGTCCTCGGCTCCGCTCGGCCACAAACGAACTCCGTCTGAAGCCGAGAGGTGGTTAGAGGAGGTGTCCAAAGCCGTGAAGGCCCAGCAGACTCCTCCCCCCCCCGCGCCCGTCCAGAACGCGCCCGTCCTCCACCCCGCGCCCGCCGCCTCCGCCGTCGTCACCGCTCCGACCGGCGCCCCGACCATTCCCGCCATCCCGGGACCTCCTTCCGCCCTCTCCAAAGCGCTACCTCCGCTCTCAGGACAACCGCAAACTCCTCTTCCTCCTCTCCCGCTCCCGTCCGTCCCGCTGATCCCGGCTCCTCCCATCACCGGGCCGCCGATGTCGCTTCCTTCCATGTCCATCCCCACCATGACGGGCCCGAGCATGTCCGGCGCTCCCATGATCCCGCCGGCGTCGCTCCAGGGTTCCATGCAGGCGTTCCCGTTGGCGTTCGATGCCAGCCCCGCTCCCGTGGGGATCTTCGGAAGCCCGCCGGTCCAGCCCGCGTTCGTCCCGATGCAGCCGTACATGCCGGGGTTGGCGAGCGGCATGGCGTACCCCAGCGTGGTCCCCGTGGTGGGCATCACGCCGTCGCAAATGGTGGCGAACGTTTTTTGCACCGCCGCTCCTCCCTCGTCCTCGACCAAAATCGGAGCGGGGAGCGTGACTCATTCCTACGCGTCCCCGCCCCCCTCCGCCGGATTCGCGTCGCCGGCTTTTCCCTCGTCGATGAACGGCGTTCCGAGCCTGGCCAACGGGTCGAGCGCCGGCGGGAGTGCGGTCGGCGTGGCAACGTGGCCGCCGGAGGGGAGCCAGCTGATCGCGGGCGTCCTGAACCCGCCGGAAGATGATCGGTTTGAGGCGAAGTGGGCGGCGCTCGAGACCAAACCCGGGACGAATACTCCTGCCGCCGCTCCTGCCGCCGCTCCTGCCGCTCCTGCTGCTAACCCTTTCTCCAATAACCTGCAGAAGACTTTTGAAATCGAACTCTAAAATCGCGTCTCCCATAGCAACGCCAGGCACCACGTCTCATCGTTTGGGACAGAATACGGAACTTTAACTCTGGCAGCGTGAAAAGCTTTCTACAGGTTTAAAGGTGCAGTTTGTCCACTTTGTTGTTTCGTTTATTTATTTACAATCTTCGCATTAGCCGACGGAGGAGAGACGTGGCTTCTAGGGATGCAACGATACTCGATATAATATTGAATTGTTCGATACTGGTGTCACGATTCGATACTGCGCGCTGTGTTTTTATTTATTTTGGTCGGAAAGGGAAACAGTTCTCTTGCGTCCTCCAGAGAACAGCTCCATACAGACTTACAGTTAGAGTGACCATATTTCCGTTTGTGAAAACCCGGACATTTTACCGGGGTCGGGGGGTGGGGCATCGACATTGAGCGACTCTCACATCGCAAACTGCGCACATGACCTCCCACTTGTCCCGACCAGGACGGAAAACAGAGAATTTCTTGTAGAGGTCATTGTTAGATGAGTTTGGTCAAGTGGTTAACGGAGGGAAACAGGGTCAGATTTTTGACATTCAAATGTCTCTTATTCAGAAACTAGAGGAACTATTGAAATAAGTAAAGTATCAGAATGTAGGAAAGAGTTACACTCCAACAGGGTCAAATTAAACCTGTGAGATTCTTTCAAGTTGTTGACAAAAAATTTAAAAACTCATGTCGGTAACGGAGGGAATGAAATATGCAGCACTTTTTGGTCAATAAATCCAAACAGTGATAACTCTTGGTTCTCACTTCCATATCCTTAACAAACTGGTTTGAATATTTGCTTCATATAGTTTTTCTACCATATGTTACAAGATTAGGTTGAAAAACCTCTTACTTTTTGACTCATGAGATTTTTTATTAAGAAAGTTCATGGTAACGGAGGGAAAAGTAACGGAGGAAAAATTGTTCAAACAAGTAGAAGGTGCAGGATTTTACATTATTTGTCGCTTTTTTTTCTTCAAATACTTTAATATTACTTCAAAATGAAAGAAACTATTTCTATAAAATATGTCAGTCCTTCCAAGAACATTTTTATCATTTTAAATACATTTTTTTTGAAAAATCCTGTCCCTTCATCAACAGTTCAAAGATGGAATAACACAAGATATGATGAAATACAAACATTTATTTACATGATTTTTGGGTCTTTGAAATTTGGGAAATAATTTTTGTTCCATGTTTCATACATGGTCTGTTTAAAACATATGGAACTTTAGAACCAAAAATGGAACAGAAAAAAGGTCAACAGTTTGATAAACTCGAGTACATATGTATCTGTTCAATACATTTTTATATCAGATGAATTAACTTGAATTTTTGGCCTTGTTGTTTACTTCTGCTTGACCAGGTCCAGTCTGCATTTGCTCTTCAGCGTGTTGCAGACTCACCGACTGTTTGTGTCTCGCTCCTTCTGAGTCACAGACGCTATGAGAGACGCTCAAGTTAATGGCCCCAATAAACAGTAATGAAAACCTGGACATTTGCATCACTTAAAAAAAAACAAAAAACGGATGCGCTGGACAGGATGCAAAAAATGGACATGTCCAGGGAAAAATGGATGTTTGGGCACTGTACTTAGGAGGGTTTGATCTTTCACTCACTTCATAGTATGTTTTTTTTACGGGAGGTTTGGGCGGTATTACAGTATTACGGAATTCCACTGTATCAAAAAGATGCAACGATATCCGATTCATTACCGGCATTAAAAAAATCTGCACCGCATAAGGACCTGATATATTATAATTTCTTGATCCCTACATTTGTTTGAACATGTGGTTTTATTTTCAGTTTAATGTTTCATGATTTAAATCTAATAATGTCTATAATGTTTCTTTTAACTGAGTGAGGAGACGACGTTCGATTAGTTTCGTTCCGTTGTCATGTGACGCTCATAAGAGACCGAGTTAAGTTCAGCCGCAAGAGAGTTGGTCCCAAAAAAAAAAAAAAAAATAAAAAAATACTAGTACTTCTACAATTTGCAGTATTTTGGCTTCAGGTGCACATTTGTTTATGTTTTACAGAAACGAAACTTAAAACCACATGACTCATTTGCATAAACTAAACAGCTCTTTCCTCGTGAGTCTTAAAACGTATCGAGTCGAATCGATATCGCGATCTGTGTATCGAGACACGTATCGAATCGTGGGGAAACTGTATCGTTGCATCTCTAGTGGCATTTCAACACCGCTATTACTCCCAGTCGGGTGAAGTGTCTTGCCCAAGAGCACAGCAGTACAGACCTGGAAAATGTAGAAGGAAAAAAAAAACATCACAGGGACTGAAAACCGAGGAGGATGAGTAAAGCACTAAAGGTAAAAGTAAAGCGCTTTCTGAAGGAGAGAAAATGTGATTCTGTTTGGAAATGATGATCTAAACCAGGTCTAAACCAGGTCTAAACCAGAACTAAACCAGGTCTAAAGAAGGACCACAGCATGACTTGAGTAGTTCTAAACCAAGACTAACCCAAAGAAGCACAAAAAGTAGACTAAAAAAACTACAGAGGACCTTGTACGGTTTAGACCTGGTTTGGTCCCGCTGAAGTCCTCATGTAGACCTGGTTTAGACCTGGTTTGGTCCAATTTAAGTACAAATGTAGACCTGGTGTAGTCTTGGTTTGGACCCAGTTAAGTCCCCTTGTAGACCTGGTTTAGTCCTGGTTTGGTTAAGTCCTCATGTAGACCTGATTAATTTCAGGTTTGGTCCCTTTTAAGTCCTCATGTAGACCCGGTTTAGTCCTGGTTTGGTCCCAGTTTAAGTCCTCATGTAGACCTGGTTTAGTCCTGGTTTGGTCCCAGTTAAGTCCTCATGTAGACCTGGTTTAGTCCCTGGTTTGGTCCCAGTTAAGTCCAAATGTAGACCTGGATTAGTCCCGGTTTGGGGCCCGTTAAGTCCTTGCCTGGACCTGGTTTAGTCTCGATTTGGTTAAATCCTCATGTAGACCTGGTTTAGTCCTGGTTTAGTTCCAGTTTTAAGTGTGTTTAGTCCTGGTTTGATCTCCGTCTGAACCAAACCTGATCGTCCAATCAGATTTGTTCATTTCAGTGACGCGTGTGAAGCGAAGAAGCTGATTGGTCACTCATCATTTACAAACAAAATCACATTTCTCTCTCACAAGAACAAACTTTAAAACTTTCTACAGAAACCCTCTGCGTTTTTCATTATTATTATTATTATTATTTCTGTCCTTTTTTCTTCGCGCCGTCGTGTTTGTTTTGATGCGGACAGATCACGCGTGTCCCTGATTGGTTCATCCACCTGTCAATCACGCCCATCTGAACTCGGGGAGATTCACAGTGACCAGACTCGCGGTTTCGGAACGTTCTGGACCCGAGGCGAACGTTCTGGTGTCGCTGGAATCAAACGACAAACCGCTTCACGATTAAACGACAAAAAACTACAAACTGCACCTTTAAACGTTTTTTTCTTTCTTGTCGCTTAAACTTGACGAACTGAAGTGGCGCTTTGTGGACTTTTCTTTCTTTAACGGGACTTTTGAAAGAGCCGTTCAGTCGGTTTGTTTTCCGCTGGACCCTGAGCGGACGCAGACGCAGACGCAGACGTACGGCCAAATGTATTGATTGTATTTATTTTTTGAGTTTTATGAATGAAATTTTAACGCAGTGTTTAAGAATTTTATTATTTTTATCCCCTATTTATTTTATTTGAATCATGAAAGAGGGAAATGGCTCTGACAGCACGAATGACCAATTAAACCAAATAACAAAGACTCAACGAAGCCGCCAGTTTCTCTTATTTTATGAACAGTTTGTGAATGTTTTCAAATGAAATGTTGTCTTCCTGCATTTGACCCATTCCACAGCGTCACTAAGTTACACCTGTGTTTGACCCCAGAGACCCACTCTTCAGCATCTCTGGACTAAACCTGCATTTGACCCATTCTTCGTGGACTCTGGGTTAAACCTGTATTTGACCCATCCTTAAGCGTCTCTAAGTTACAGATGCATTTGACCCATTCTTCAGCGTCACTGGACTAAACCTGCATTTGAGCCCAGAGACCCAGCCTTCAGTGTCTCTGGGTTAAACCGGCACTTGACCCATCCTTGAGCATCTCTGGACTAAACCTGCATTTGACCCATCCTACAGCGCCACTGGGTTAATTCTGCATTTGACTCATTATTCAGCGTCAGTAAGTTACAGATGCATTTGACCCGTCCTTGAGCATCTCTGGACTAAACCTGCATTTGACCCATTCTTCGGTGACTCTGGACTAAACCTACATTTGACCCATTCTTCAGTGATTCTGGACTAAACCTGCATTTGACCCATTCTTCAGTGATTCTGGACTAAACCTGTGTTTGACCCATCCTACAGCACCACTGGGTTACAGATGCATTTGACCCATACTTTAGCATCTCTGGACTAAACCTACATTTGACCCATTCTTCAGCAACTCTGGGTTAAATCTGCTTTGACGCATTCTTCAGCGACTCTGGACTAAACCTGTGTTTGACCCATCCTTCAGCGTCACTAAGTTACAGATGCATTTGACCCGTCCTTGAGCATCTCTGGACTAAACCTGCGTTTGACCCATCCTTCAGCGCCTGGACCAGGTCTGCTCCAGGATCCTGATCTGGTTTTGTTCATGTTTTGAAGCCCACACAGACACAGGGAGAACATACAAACTCCACAGTGTAAAGTCCGAACGGGAATCGAACCCTGAACCTTCTCACTGTGGGGCTAACCACTCTGCCACTGCACTCTCACCTGAAAATGAACAACAAAATGAGGCCTTAGAGTTTGTTGAACCAGGACCTGATTTAGTCCTGGTCCAGTCCTGGTTTAGTCCTGGTCCAGTCCTGTTCTTTGTAAGTCCTGCATGTTAAACTGCAGAGGGCTTCAGGTTCAGCACAACACAAAAAAACAACGAGCAAAGCACCAAAAACATCGACAGTGTGCATGACAACAGGTCACCACGGCAACCACGGCGACCGCTGCGCCACGACAGACCGGCCTGTCCCGGGG